GGGTGATATTTTGAGCTCTGGAGGTAAAATCACAACACCAACTGATTTAACAAACAAACCTGTGATGCCAGGTACATGATGCCAAACAACAAAGCAAAGAAGAACTCCAAGCTTTAAAACCCTCCCTGGCAAGTTGTCTACTTCATCTAGTCTTCTACTAAGGGTTGTTATTGTTTTAGGGGTAGAGGTCGTCAGTTTGGATTGATAGGCCTACTATTATAATGCTAATACGGGAGAAATTTCTTTCCTTTTGAGAACAATACCACTGATCAACACTGAAAATTCACACCTTTCCTGCATAATTAGCCTTGTGAGATATGCAAATTGGATGACAGTATTCCCTACCAATAATGACGAAAACCTGACAATATTTCAGTGTTCAGCTGTGAACCTACACTAGCACCTAACAGCATTATAAGGTAATGGTACAAACTTGTCTAGCTGGCAAAACACAAGATATCAAAACCAGAAGTTCCACTGCAGTACTGTAACAAGCAGCCAGGAGGCCCAAAATCTAATAATTCTGAGATCTCATCAGCACCTTCTAACCTACCAAATACATTGTACTAGTACTAGTATCATTTAGACGATCCATCTAAGCCTTCTCGAGTCATCATGTTTACACACACTACAGACACACACACACACATGCACAAATGCTACTGAAAACATATTGCCTTCTTGGTAAAGATAACTAAACAACCTGTTGCCTTAAATGCCTGAAATCATATCCAGACCATAAAGCTAAATCTAGTATAATGACGGTAATTATGGAAGCATAATGAAGACTCTCTGACCATATCTCAGTTGCCAGTCCTCCTGTAGTCTCCTTGAAATACGAAGACGTGTCAAAGGTGACGACATTGTCAAACAGACCTGTCACAGCAAGGCTATGTGAGTAATGTCAGGGCAGACCAGGTTGAGTAAACTGTCCTCTGTTCTATGGGCCTTACATGGTCATGGTCCAGTTCTAACTAAAGCAGGGGCAGTGTAAGCTCTAGTCTAGAGTTGTCTTCAAGTCTGGGTCATCACCTCATGCCTGGAGTGTAGTTTTAATTATTGCATGTACATACAAATGTAGTTGAAAATTCTTGTCAGCCAAAAGATTTACAATTCATAATATTACCCAACATGCAAAAGAGGTCAGACTACATTACCCAGGTAATAAACGTTTAGAACATTATATAATAATTTGATGGATCTCTATTCTGAAAAAGACAGCAGGACTATCTAGATAAAGAAATATTGCATTGATGCTTGACTTAATATGTCAATTAAAACAGAGCTCTTTGAAATTGTTGAATTAGCATTTCAGTATACTTTAATTCAAAAATTTTCAGTTTATTTTAATTCAAAAATTTTAAAGCATATTCTAATTCAAAAGCTATTATAAAAGTGAAGCACCTGCACAGTTTTTTTTTTTCAAATTGGACAGAGTTAAATTTCTTGACATTTACCTCAAAATCCCTTTTCCCTGGTATCCTAAAGGCCACTAAAAGCCTGCTGACTTTTGGCAAACATTTTACCTCAGTGCTACTAGTCTGCAAGGTCATAGGTCACAGCCAGCCTAACATTTGACTTTGATCCTCCACTGGTCCTTTTAAACGATTGGCAAACTAATATCATGTGACCTGTCTGTTTTCGCTCCAACATAAAAATCTGATAATTCTTGTTTTAGCTACCATAGCAGCATTAAGATTCAAAAAACATATTTATGTAACAGTTACTGTTTCAAATTTCTTAGTACCAGTAGTTAATATCATATAAAGTGCACCAGTCCTGTATCATATTACATTTGTATGGTAAACAAAACTGGGCTTGTGTTTTGTATTGTTTAGACTTCCCTTTGGTAATTCTTTCAATACAAATTGTCCTTGGTTCTTCTTAAGCCACCACGACTTCCTAAATTACTAGTAGTACTTTGGACATGGACAACAATAGCTGTTCTTTATTTCCACTGTTCTTTAATAGGCAGAAACATGATCCTTATGATCACTGATCATTGAATTCTTCTAACAATGAAGTTGGCAATAACAAATTATTTCAGAGAGAGTGCATAGATGCAAGTTACATTGAAAGAATGTTATAGAATAGAACTGTGCTGAGTTCACAGATTTTCATCTCCACATGATAAACTGCTGGCTGAATGGAGAATTTGCAAATCAATCAATACCTTAGTGGAAAAACCAAATGACCGTGAATGATTTTCACAAGTCGGCTCAGTCAGCTGCAGTGAAGCAAACAGTGTGGGACTTCTCTGGCATGTTTGTTTGCAAACGTGTGAACTGCTGTGAAAAAGACATGGTTTGTTTTGGTACGCATGTGCTGACCTACATAGCAAACACCTGACAAGAGGGTGTGAAACAGCCGTGTCCTATTTGGGAAAGGATATTCTATATCATAATGTTCTTGTAAAATTACAAACTTATACTTAGTATAAGTTTGTAATTTTACAAGAACATTATGATATAAACTACTGCTTTACTTTTGAAAGTATTTGAAACATTCTATCACTACAGCAACATGAATAATTCAAAACCTGCTGTTCAAACAATTAATTTATTAGCTCTCTGTAATTGTTTATTTTGCAACAGGATATTTTCATGATATACAGTATATAACAAGATATAACAAGTCTGTAACATGATTGATATGAAACAACCCCCATTGCTGTTTGTTACGTAAACACAGTTGCTTCCTTATTTTGATCAATCATGTTTGACAAGCAACAATGCACCCGGAAATCTATAACATGAGGAAAAGTTGTCTGAATACATTTAGAAGCAAGCACTACTATGATTGACTGTTTGGTACACATGAAACAAGGGACATTCTAAGTTGAATGCAGTGAGGTTCTGAAGCTGTGATTTCCTATTCCTATTTAGTATGCTTGATCCACTAGTACTAGTTTTTCTTCCCTCAATGCACGCAGTCATAAACCAATTATATCAAGTTACCCCTCCCCCCCACCCCGAGTTGGAAGTCATGATTCAAAGTACAGGTACCATTCACTTCTCAGCCCTGACCACATTTCCTTTCTCACTGTTCACTAGACCTATTATTTCTGCATTACTCGTCCTTCACTGCAAACTTGTTCAACCACTGCCAGCACACAGCCAAAACAAAGGCACAAGCCAAGTAGAAGGGCTACATAAAAAGCAACTCAAACCTACCTCCATATTGCCTTCCCCTCTCTGCTATGACAGGCCTTGCGCAGTCGTCCTTTACTTTACGGCCACTTTGGACTCTCCCAGGTAAACACAGCCACACAATGGTCCCACCCCTTCTACTGTTTGTTCTTCCAACCATACGTACATTATACACCGCTTCCTCCCCACCACTCCAATATCGCACTTTGCCCACTCCCCGCACTGTTGACAAAAATTATTCCAGAGACCTACCGACCACCGGCGTTCTCAACTTTCCCCTTTGACCGCAGCAAAGGTCACCAGGTGCATTGTTTTCTCACGTGCTTCAAGGTGTGTTTGTTACCTGAGCTTCCTGAGAACAAGGGAAGTCCTGCCCACTATAGAAAAATATTTGGTGGGAGGGGGGCTGCAGTAGAGCTAGACTTTGCTGCCAGACAACCTGAGTCTGAAGTTCTCTGAACATCTTGAAGTTATCCGATTTCAAATGGTAGCATGTGGTAGTCATGGATCACCTTTGTCCCTAAATGCACTGCAGGACCAAAATGTGATGGATTATACTGTTGGCTGCCTTAGCTTTTTAAGTTTGATTGAAAAGTGTTAGGCTTTTGCAGAAAAGAATCAATGCATGGCCTTTTTGCCAATTTTACTGGGAAAAACTACACAGAGGATTTGTCCCCCAGAGTTCTTCAGGTGCTGAAAGAAAAGTTTGAATGTTAGCCAAGTATGGTCAATAATCTACTGTAGTGGAGGTATATCCCATGGTGCTTGAAATCTACATGTATGGGCGGACTTCCCAACAGGCAAAATTTGTTAAAACATTTGGCCAACTTCCACAAACAATCCTTTTAATACACATCGGAATCTGGTATCAATACATACACTCAGCCTGGCTTTATCCATAACCAGGGTATTAACTTACAAATGTTTAATAGGACTGAAAAAACAACAGCAGCAAGAGTCAATGCACAGGTTCTTCTTCTCACTGAAACCAAACCTCTTTGTCTGTCTACTTCCTCAGACATTAGTTGTTCACCCTGTTTGCCTATAGCTATGTTCCACAAACAATTCCTTCAGTACACAAAGGGATCAGGTACTGATTTATAAGATTATAAAAGCAGGGTGTAAACTTTCAAACATTTAACTCCTGACTAAAAAAAAATGATGAGACAATACACAGGTACATCTGCCTATAGGGTACACAGTCTCTATTCTTTACCTGGATAAGTCCTAAGACAAACCCTGTTTGTCCAATTTCTATAGCTACATGTAGTACTGTATTGCATGCAATGTCTAGAGGGAACTGACATTGTCCCTATAGCTAATACTAGGGTGTAATGTTACAAACAGAACTCACCAAGAACACAATGCGCAGGTACTTCCGCATGAGTGAGAGAGACTACAGAACAACCTACATGTCGGGTACTCCTTAGACTACATCATGTGGTGCACAGACTGTAACAGAGGTGTGTTCACTAATACAGCCCCAGGGGGCAGAGAGGGATATAATGACTATCACTCAGGCCAACCTGGAACTAATGGGTGAGGAAACACCAACCTCAGGGGGTGATAATTCTTAGGTTGGCACAAGGTGTCGCAGTGCTGGAAAAATGCAGTAAGGTTACATGTATGTGCCCCCTACCCTACCCCATGTGATCAAAGTTATATCATGTAAAGCACAAGCATATGTGTTTACTAAGTGTACTGGCTCTTTTGGCTTAGATCCCTGATGACAGCGTAACCTACCACTGTTGAGGACACAGACAGATTTGGTGTTGCCAACGTGCCAAGCACATTTGCCACTAAAAGCATGACATCTTATTTTAGGACGAAAAGAATAGGTGAAAAACTCACCCCGCTGTTACAGCTGTTTGTCTCCTGCTCGTCTTCCAGCTCGTAGCCATTGCCATGGTAACCATTTTCCATCACCTCCTTGGTCTCCTCCAAGTCAGAATCGTCTCCTGTAGAACAACAAGAGTACCTGGGTTAAGGGGTGGATTTTCTGTTTTATAACAGATATAGAGATTATTTATTACCAAAAACAGTGGATTAAAATCAGTACCCACACTCTAAGAACGGAATGGCAAATGGACAAAATCACTGTGACTTTTCTGTGACAAATTTCCCTACATTTGTGCATGGGCAGCCCAGAAAACTAGCAATAAACACAACACCAACAATGCATCGTCTGGCATATGACGTAAATTGGACATCTAATGGTGATTTTACAAATTCAATGTAGCCAATAAGAGGGCACAGTTGCAAACTGGAGGTCCCTTTGGCCAAGGGAAGAGTTAGACGACAGTCATTTAGCGTCCGGGTCGTTAGGGATTGGAACAGTCTACCACAGGCCGTAATTGACTCAGAGTCAGTAAATGAGTTCAAGACGAACCTAGACAAATACTGGGAGAGCATAAAGTATAACACTGAGTGAAGTCAAGATCGGGATCACCACAGGATTACCTCTCATCCTGAAGACGGTATCAAGGTATCAAGGTAATAATTCAGCCTTACTGTAACCATAATGTCCTATATTTGGAAGCACAAATTGCATTCACATATAGCAATCATTGTTACTTCTGTTCACACGTAGACTATAAATGTACCGTAATGGCTTTACATCATTCTTTAGCAAGCCTACACTTTATAGCTATACGTTGATACTCAAGCCCATTCTTTAGTGACAATACATTTTTAAGCTTTAAATGTTAGCTCAATGTCAGCATATCACTGAGACCACAGGCTACCTTCAGCCCCTCTGGGTTATTTTTCATGATACTACTAAGAAATTGAATGCCATCTTCAATGTTGCATCACAGGCCCTGAAACTTTGTGTGTAGCTCGGAATCTCTTTGAAGCTGTAATGATACTAGCTAATGCTATAAATGTTGAAGTGTTTTATAACTAATTTTACCTCATACCCATACATGTGACTTGCACGTAAGCAACATAATATACGAGCAGGAGACTTGGTGAGTGAGAGAGACTCAGCGCAATTAAAACTGAAGCAATGGAACGGCTATAATTTCAGCCCACTAGGTGGTACTCAGCATGATAATTACATGCCATTTCTGACTCACGCAGCAAGACTCGATATTAATAGAAAGAATGCTTCAAGCGTGCCATAATGTTGCTCCCCACTGTCACTACAATAGCTTGAATAGTCCTTTACGTAACTACAATTTAAAACCTTTTGAGTTGCACACACTCAAACTTTTAAGGCTTCATTCTAATGAGCAAGGTGGTTCAAGCCTTGGTGCAAGTTTCTAAAAAAAGCTTTTCATCGTTGTGAGATATACATATACAATACATTATATTATATTTAGAAAATAATGTCGTGTCATCGGACAATAAACATTGAAAAGAAAAGTAAAATAAGGTGCAATTTACATATTGAGAGATACTAGACTAAGTATTAAGAATGTTAGGGAAATTTCCCAACCAGTCTTTGTCACCCCTGCTTCTCCCATGGGGTCAGTTAAACTCACTTGCAGAAAACTGAACTTGTCTTGAGCATTGAAGTCTCTGACGTTAGTTTAAGTCATGTTCATGTGACAGGTGTAACCTTGAAGTGGCCTTTGGGAATGTTACAAGGTGACAATTCAGTCATCTCCAAGCAGATCCTACAGTGGCATAGGCATGCTATTAGCCAAGCAGTGTCTAGTAAGCTCTGTAGGATCTGCTAGTAAAATATTCCAGTAAGAAAATTAAAGAAACTTAGCAACCTGCGCTCTTTTAACATCCCCAAGCATGTCATCGTCAATTTTCCTCTAGACAAATTGAACAGAACAACCCAGCACCATCCCTCAGCAAACCTCTGGGAGACAGGGCCGCTGGTCTGCTCATTATTTTCTCTTATCTTACCATTCCATCGATGGAATGGCTGTGCTCAACCTGTTACGACCGACCCAAGGGAGATAGTTCTTCTAAGAATCGACGCCAAGTGCAGGGTAGAGTTACCTCAGATGGCCTATTACTCGCTAAGATGGATGCTAACAAAGCGTGGACATGACTGAGTCTGGTCTCGGTAAAGACTCCACAACGTTTTTATGGAACTTCGATGGGGCATTGATTTTGCTACTGGCTGTAATCGTTATGGTTTTTGCTAAAACTTTTTGAGTGAGAATGTTCCCCTCAGAATTGTCAATAATAAAATATGAAATTTCGTTCCTGAAAATCAATATTTTACATACAAGTTTCCAAACCACAGTCTTTCACACTCTAAAAACTTAGTTCCAAATCAGAGATTGCAGACTTCCGGTAAGTGTGCAATCCTTGGTAGAGTATCGTAAAGTTGAACTTGCAAAGGCTAGGCTAGCTGTAACAGCTTTTGGGATAATATAGCCAGCTGCCACTGGGTGGCATGCCTGGTATGGGAAGCTGCAGGGCAGTTATGCTGGCTATACGGAATCATAGATACTGAATATTAAAAGTTTCTGAGTTGCAAACTTGTGGCCGTGCCATGTGCTTGATACATGTTCTGATTTACAGGGTCCATGTTGGTATATCCAGTGGGATCGGTTTGGTGCTCCCCGGGGTCAGCATTAATATCCAACCTCGTCCCACAGCATCAAAAATCAATGGTGGGAATAAGTGTTGAATCAGGGCCGATGTTCTGCACGGCTGACCCTGTAACCCAATTCCTGCTGTGTCAGTGACGGATGCCCATTCACAGGACTGGAAATACCATGCAGGGTAGTGTAGGTAAAATTGGGGCTGTGCAGGAATTTCTAATGTGTACCTATGCCTACCCTTCATTTCAATTTCTTAGACTTTCAGACACTTACCTGCTACATTGTACATTTTACAGTCAGGGACAAGTCACATGCGAAGTTTATAAGAAGCAAATCCTAAAAATTGCTTTTGCAGAACAAAACTGTAAGTACATTTTACAGCACTGCAAAGCAAATAAACAATTCAGCTTAACAAGCTCTCTTGAGGGCATGGTAACTACATTACAAATTGTAGTTTAGTGTTTCAGAAATTGAGCAAACAGCACTCAATTGACTGATGAGGCTTTTTACACCTTCTAGGTTTACATACCAGTATCACCAATTTAATATTCATGGAGACTGGTAAAGATCAAGGTTTCCAAAGTACCACTAGATTGATGAAGGAGCAGGTAAGATTGCAGTGGGTTGGACATAGATGAATAGGCCAGGGGTGAAAGAACTTAGGTAAGGGTAATGAGGATAGGACCTTACATGTACTCAAGCCATGCTAGATTCCATCTTCATCCTTAAAAGCATGTATACACATGATTGCATACATGTATGATTTATTGTCTGTCCACCAAATCATTGTGAGCGGCAAAGAAAAGCTATTGCACATTTGATTACAAGCAATGCCCCTATAGGTATTCATCTCAAAATGAATTTCTAAAAAAATGGTGAAACAATCTGAATCACCTTTTGTGCTCAGGCATGGTTGTGGATAGTCCACGCTTATCCAGAATAGTGTATGAGGCAAACCTACTTTCTTGGCTATGCAAACACTAGAGCTGTGCCTAATCCTAACCCTTTACTCATTAATGAAGATAACTAAATAGGCATAGTTCTGGATATAATATGACATGGCAGTCATCCAAGTGACTGGAAGACAAGAGCAGTAACAACAAACATGGCTTCAGCACCAAGGACATCAACCCAAGCTATCAAACTCAGCAGAATTTTTACTTTTCTGGACCCCTTTTCCAAGAACCCAGTGACAGAATTGTTCCTGCCTTGAGAATTAGAAGACTTGTAGTTGAACATGTGGCAGATCATCTGTCATGACCCCCCCTGTAGGCAGTCATTACGTGTCCCGGCAGAACCCACACAAAGGACTGAGAGTTATGCCTGGTGGCGGAACCCTTATCAGCCTGGCACAGGGGTGGCAGAGATGGAATCAGCCCAGGAAATAAGGGATGGCTGAGGAAAGTAGGACAACTTAGCATATCGATCCATCCTGGAAGACGACTGCTGTGGAATACGTACGACAGTCCCTAAGAAGTTCCCTTAGACAGGTAATAACTTTACGAAGGGATGAGCAAGAATTTAGGGACATTCTCTCCTTCAATCTAGCTCTAGAGCATTGGCACCTTCAAGACAAACATCATTGTAAATGACAGCTTGTGTTTTATATCTAACAGCACATTACTAGTAATTTGTTTTCTTTCTAAATTTGAGTTTATAGGAGAAGGCAACCTTTCTGTTGGATAACTTTGCTTTGCAAAACAACTTACAAAATCCAAAATCATATGTTAAACATGAATAATTATGCAAAAATGACATGGCTCTTTATTTCTCTCTAAATGAAAGAGCAATGATTTTGGCACTTGCAATTTAGCTATCAGCACAGTCACTGTGGTGCTTCAGCCTGCAGTACTTGGTTTATCCTCAAGGGGGCCTGCTCTCCAGTGGGATGCCTTCATCATCATGCCTTAGAATAAGGTAGATGATACCATCAATGCAATACAACAAATAATTTGCACATGTTGCTTGTACAATTAGTTTTCATCTGAAAGCACAAACATATCACCTATTAAGCAAATGATAAATTTAAAGTACTAAGCCTAACTATCATTAGCTTTGGCATTTGATGATGAATGAAACCATTAGAAATTTGTTTGTTTGTTTGTTTGACTGTTTGTTTATTGCAATTATCCATTTAGTCATTAAAATGTCTACACTATTCTGCCTCAGCAATTCTCATTAAGAATTTCTATGGAAGTGTAGAAAGTGAGCTTTAAACCTGTCAAAAAACACTGCAAGACTGAAGAAGAAGAGGACCCGTGTGTCTTTCACTTACAGGGACATATGCAGAAAAAAAGTCTTGAGCCCTGAGTGGGGAGTAATACTAATAGCAGAGAGAAGGAAATATCAGTCACTGCAGGGAAAACTGTCATTCTGCACATTTCTCACTCCCCACCTGTCTGCATGAAAGGAATCTTGATTCACTGGATGGGCGTAGGGTTCCTTCC